AGAAGAAGAAGAAGAAGAAGAAGAAGAAGAAGAAGAAGAAGAAGAAGAAGAAGAAGAAGAAGAAGAAGAAGAAAGCGATGAGACATTTGGAGCTGGCTAAGAAGGCAGGCGCTGCTGCTCCCGATGATAATGCTTTCTTTCTCTTCATATGCGCCTTCCTCTGGAAGGTCAGAATCCATCTGAGCCACGTCGTCCTTGACTTGCGGTGGGCTCCTCAGACCAGCAAATAGCAGACACTAGGAAGGAAGCAGGACTTCCCTTGACTATAGACTAAACCCTTAGCAGGTGGCTTCGCTGTCTGTCCAACAGTCTGCCTGCCATCATCTGGTAGGGGTTTTTACATCTCGAATTTGCATTTCTCTTCAGCTGTGTTCTGACTCCCGTGGGGGCGAAATCTACATTTTTTTCTTTTACTAAAACATTTCCCTTTGTGCTTAGCCCCCTGGTGCCCAGAAACCCTTGTCATGTCAAGTTCACCTGCTGCTTTAATAGTGAACCTCGAGATTTCCTTCCCAGGTACTGTGGACAGCAGGAGTCCCAAGAGAGAGAGGTGCTTGGTGGTAACCGCAACACCGTGACAGCCGCCCTGCACCAGAACAGGGTCTCCCGGCAGCTCTGCATTCTTTTCTACAAGAATCAAAAGAAAGGCACACACGAACAACTAAAAAGAAAAACTAAAATCGATTCATAAATCAAGACTGTGTCTTAGTAGGGCAAATAATATTTGACGGAAAAAGGAAGGAATCTAAATATTATGTATTATATAAATATTTTTATTTTATTTGGTTTTGGCCTTATTTATTATAATTGTGAGAGGCAGCCTGAGACTTACAATGGCAGTAACTGCTGGCACCTGCAGGACCCCAGAGTAGCTCTGAGGAGCCTGAGAGACCCATGGAGGCTCCAAGGGGAAATGCTCTGGAGGAGAAGTCTACAGAGCCTGCAGTACCCAGAACAACTTTTCTAAAGGCAGGTCTTATGGGAAGATGCTTCTAAAAAGTGGGCTCACGGAACTGGAAGGAAAGATGGCTGAGCAGAGCCCCGTGCACACAGTGAAGAACGGCGAAACTAGAGACACTTCCCGAAGGGTGTGGGAGTGACGTGGGAGCAACCGCAGTGGACAAAGAACTTGGCCTTACTGCTAGGGCCAGTACTTGACCTGCAGCATGGACCTGCTTCTGGCCGCATGCGCGATAGTCATGCCTGATGTGCCTGGTGAGCCTCCGGGTGGCCAACACCAAGGACAGGGTGGTGTGTGGCAGCCTTGAGTTCTCCCAGAAACATGTCTTTACTGAATAGGGCAGCATGGAGCCAATGTAGCTGCCACCCTACTGGGGGGAGAGGAGTGCCCAGGCCACAGAACTGCCCTTAGGAAGCCTAGAGCTTACAAGGATCCTGTCCCTGGATGTCCTGCCTCTGGGTAACAGCAGGGTATACAAGTCGAGTCTCGGGGATTGTCCAGTATCTATGGTGCTTCAGAGACCAGAGACCTTGAACCAGACCAATGACTCTTGAGTATTTGCATGGAAAGCTGTTTGGGTATAAACACTGTGTGACACACCTCAGTTTGCAATGCCACTTCAACAAACAGTCAATTGAAAGCTGGAAAAGCTGGAGGAACGGAGCACGTGCTGTGGAGAGAGGCAGATGGTGACCTGACAGAGGTGACAGGCATGGCGGAAGGCTGAAGCGGACAGGGGAGCATGCCCTTGCTGAGCAGAGCTGGTGGGCTGCGGTGCAGCAGCCTGGAGCTCTGGCAAACTCTGTCCCAAAAGTTGATGTCTAACCACAGGATCCCCCTGACTCTGAGCAACGACAGGATACCAGAGATGAAGAATGGTTTGTTTTCTGGACCGGGCCTCCACAAAAGTCCTTCATGGTTCATGCTGTCCCCGGAAGCCATGTTTACACCCAGAGTCCATACGGACATCTGTGGTCTGGGATGCCACCTAAGGCCAAGTTGATGCCTATGGCCCTCGTTGCTGCTAGAAGCTGTGTCGATGTCGGTGATCTGTGCTGCCGCCAGAGACCATGTTGGTGTTCGTAGTCTGTTATACTGGGAAGACCAAAGGGATGTGCTGCCGCCTGATGGGAGCCATGCTGCCGCCAGAGGCCATGTGGATCTCCATGGCCTGTGCTGCCACCCAGAACCACCGTGATGTCTGTGATCTGTGTTGTGGCTAAGATCCTGGGTTAGGCGCCTACTGATGATAAGGAAGCTTCTTTTGCAGTGGTATTGATGACTACAGACTCACAGCTGAGAATGAGACACAGAAGACTTCCGTGACAACCTCTCTCCCCCACTTCCACTCTACCCCCCTCAAAAGAAACAGTCTAGACAGGATGCCATTGACAAGAACTCTTAAAAACTGTGGCAGGGAGGCTGAAGTGTAGCTCTTCACAGCCGATGGCTTCTGGTGGAGCGAGGGGTTGGGAAGGATTCAGTTTTCTTTAAGAAGCTGGCTGCTGGGAAGTTTAACCGTGCTTCAGTGAGTATTTGGGCAACACAAATTATACTTGGCTTATTTTTCTTTTTCTTTTTCTCCTTCTCTTATTTATTTATTTGTTTGTTTGTTTGTTTGTTTGTTTTTGGTGAGGAGGTCACAAGGGTGGGGGAGTGGACCTGGGAGGATAGGGAAGTGAGTGTAAATGGCATGCATTATGTGAAATTGCCAAATAATCGTTAAAAATATTATCTTGGAAAGAATTGTGGGCAGCATGCACATGGCGGTCAGACGACAAACTTACAGTTGCTCCTCTCTCTTCCCCTCTATGTGGGCCCTGGGGATCAGTGCATGCTGCCTTGCTTGTATGACAGGCACCCTAACCTGCTGAGTTATCTCAGTGGCCCCCACTGTAAGGAATTGCAACAATGGGGTGGAGGTGTCATGGCCTATAGACAATGAAAATGTCACCACAAAACCAATGTTGACTCTTTCAAATCACAAATTTTAACTCCTTCAAATCCAACAAAACAAATGACCTTTCAAGTTCTTTAAAAAAAAAACTGCAGAATATGTATGTAACTGGTGGTATTAGCCTGGAAATATGTGATATTGGGTTTCTTTTCCCCTTGGAGAACCATCGGGGATGTTGTTGGGACTTTTCTCTCAATGGTACTGTTAGAAATAGGGGTCCTGAGTCTCAGCCCTAATAACATCTGTGCAGGGTAGAGGAGACAGGGAGAACAGCATCCTGTGCTTTTCCCGTGTTCTGCGCTGTCTGACCTCAACCCATCATATGCTAGTGAGATCTCCTCACAGGATTTTCAGCTAAAAGCCGTCACATGGCCCCGGGGGGAAACTGGCTGGAAACGACTAGAGAGGCCAATTCTCACTTCAAGAAACCAGGCCCTCTTGTCCATGTATTGCAGACCATATTTACGTGCATGTTAAAGTTCTTGTATTTGAGGGTATGATCAACAGACAGAAGACATTTTATGGTTTCTGGTGTTACAGGCTCTTCCACGGAATTGAACGCTCAAGGGACTGATAATCCAGTCCAATGACTTCACGCTTCCAAAAGTAACTGAGGAATGCAGACTTCACAGAACCTAACAGATATGGAAAGTATGGTTTTGAAAGGGAAGTAATATGCACAACATTTTGGGAGAAGTTAAATAATAGCTAATGGAATGGAGAGACATCCCGGGGCCAGGGACTGGAAGATTTAATATTGATAAGATCATAACCCTTCCCACACAGAGCCATCCTGAGGTTTTCCTAAGTCACAGTGGAAAGCAATGGTGACTTGAAGACCACATCTAGGTTTCAAGTCATAAGGGAGACCATTTATTCTTCAGATGCAGCCAAGGAGGATAACGAGGAAACAGAACTTTCCTGGGCTGTGAGGAGCGATGATTGGGAAGCTTCTCCAGACGGTGGAATTAGAGTCCACTCAGGAAATAGCCTCCACCCCTGGGGCCCAGTTCTATTTCCTTCCACAGAGATTTCAGAACTGCTGTGAGTCAGAGACAAGCGACAACTTCCACTCTTCTGCACTGTTGAGTGGTAATGTTCACTGTGGTCATGCTGGCCCATCCTCTGCCATGTTTTGGATAGGTGGGCACAAGTAACTTGGCTTCTTAGCCCTAAATGTTAAGGATCAGGTTGAGGAGCTCCCTGAGACCCAGATCTTGAGTCTGAGAAGAGACTGCATGAGACTTTGGGATCTTCTCTAAAGCAAAGTGGAAATATTTTACATATAGAAGAAGGAAGCAAATTTCACCATGAGAGCAGGTAATAGTGGGTTTTAGCGATGGCCCCAATTGTGTGCTAGGCCTGAGAGAGGATTATGGATGTCAATCATTCTCACTTGATTTCCAGCACCCGCCCATAAGCGATGGCTGCTGTTTGCACCGAGCGTAGTTACAGACTTCCCTTTACCAGGGAAATGTGGGTGGAGGTGATACACATATCTTCCCACACAAGTTTACAGAGCATCTCATGGCTTAACCATCGCTTCCTCCACCCCATCCCACCACCATCATCTTGCCCATCTGAAAGCACTTACTGAGCACAACCAAATCAATTCAGAGTCTCAGCCTCAGGAGTGAAGGCTGTGGCCTTGATTAGGTTTTGGGTCTGAGCTTAACTTATACAAGTAGATATAGATATATAGCTATATGTCAGCCATATTAGTAAAAGTATCTCCCAGTACTGACCTGGCAGGGGATGTACCATAAAGGTGGTTTTCCCAGGGCGAGGCTTATCCATTGCACTCCAGATGTGCTGACCCCTACAATTTCCCCAAATGTGGGAAATTCCACTGCATAATTTGTGGTAGTGGGGTTCTGCGTTTGTGCTCTCCCCCGGAAAAAAAAAAGAAGGAAAGAAAGAAAGAATTACTCCCAACTGTATCTTCTGATATTTGGAAATTGGAAATAGTTGAATTTTCCATTCCCCTTTACAAAATTGTGTGGTTTTTCTTGGACTTCTTTCTCTTTTTTTTTTTTTTGCATTTTGTTAAATGAAACCAACAGAAATTAAAGACTATTAGCAACATGCTTTTTCCTCTTTGCCTATCCACAGTGTCCTTGAGTATATAATCTGGTCTTCCAGGAAAGCTGGGCTTAACCAATGCAGTTTTTTAATGCAAACCCAGACAAACAGTGGGAAAGCAATGAATAAACCTGACACTCTTTGTGGTTACTTAATTAAACCTGTCAACAAACCACAAGCACAAAAATATCTTCACCCTAAAACAGGGCATCTACAAAAATTACAAAGCAGGTATTTTCCTTGGATCTGGGAGACTGAGGGTCAAGAGGAAGACAGGAGACGTCTCTCACTGCATCTATTCAGTATCATGTTGGAGGGCTAGCCAGGGAAACAGGACATAAAGAAACATAAAGCACCCAGATAATAAAGGAGAAAGTAGATTGATCTCACTATAGGTAACATGTTGTTGTCTATAGAAAATCCTTAGGTACCCTTAAGGAGCAACAATTAAGAGGAAGGGAACCAGTTGGAGGGGGAGGAGAACAAGAAAGTAACAAGAGGTGCATATAGTCAAAATGCATTACATAAATGAAAGAAATGGTCATGATGAAATCCTCTATTATGCATAATAATTATATGCTAATAAAACATTTTTAAAAGAAACAACTGTTAGAGCCAATGAGTGGGTTCAATCATGTTATAGGATACAATCTCAATATGCAAATATCAAGTGTGTCTCTATGGACCAGCAATGAAAACCCAAAAATGCAGCAAAGGAAACAATTCCATTTTTATAATAGTATTAAAAATAAAATAGTTAGAAATGAATTTAACAAAAAATTTAAGACTTATAACTGGAAATATTTTCCAAAGGCATTAGCGACCTAAATAAGCAAAAAGACATTTTGCGGATATGACCAGAAAGACATGGTACTGTCAAGGAGATACTACTTCCCAAACAGAGTTACCCTACACAAAGTCAGCTGCTTGTTTCCAGAAACTGATTAGCTAGTCCTAATGTGTACACGGGCACACAAGAATACCAAAATAGCAGGGAAAAAGAAGAAGAAGAAGAAGAAAGAGGAGGAGGAGGAGGAGGAGTAGGAGAAGGAGAAGGAGAAGGAGAAGGAGAAGGAGAAGGAGAAGGAGAAGGAGAAGAAGAAGAAGAAGAAGAAGAAGAAGAAGAAGAAGAAGAAGAAGAAAAGCCAGGGAATTCACAGTTTGCAACTTCATAACTGCTACAAAACCACCCAAGTAATGGAGACAGTGCATTAGAGATATAAGGGTAGACAAGGTCAGCTCAATGGAGTCGAAATGAGAGCACAGGATGAAATATACCTTTATATTATGGTGGATTTCTTTTCAAAGCAGTGTGCTATAATGACTCAGTGAGGAAAAATAGTCTAGTCAACCAATAAAGTTAAGACAGTTGGATATTCTTATGCAAAAGACACACAACATGCAATAACCCAGACAGACTCAAAATGAACCATAGACCTTTACCTAAGTGTGTGTGTGTGTGTGTGGGTGTGTGTGTGTGTGTGTCCCAAAAATCCAGGGTCTACTAGGCCCTCTGCATGTGGGTGACAGTTGTGTAGCTTGGTCTGTGTATGGGGCCCATAGCAGTGAGACCAGGATCCGTCCCTGGTGCATGAACTGGCTTTTTGGAACTTATTCCTTATGGTAGGATGCCTCACTCAGCCTTGATGCAGCGGGGAGAAGTTTGGTCCTGCCTCAACCTGATATGCCATGCTTTGTTGACTCCCACGGGAGGCCTTACCCTGTCTGAGGAGTGGATGGGAGGAGCAGAAAGGAGGTGGGGAAGAAGACAGGAGGAGAGGAGGGAAGGGAAACTGAATGATATGTAAAATAAATTCTAAAAAAATTTTTTAAAAAATCCAGGGTCTAGGTTAACCAATGAATCCTTAGATATGACACCAAAGAAACAAAAGATAAAAGGCAAATCATTAAAATGCATCAAAGAATGCTATAAAAAAAAAAACCTACAAGATGGGCCCAGGGGTGTGTTTCAGTTAGTAGTGTTCTCGCCCAGCATGCAAGAAGCCCATGGTTTAAACCCTAGAACTGCACATGCATGGTTGTGAGCCTATCACCCAGCACTGAGGGATAGAGGCCGGAGGATCAAGGCATCCTCGGCTACATAGTGAAACAGAAGCCAGCTTTTGTATCATGAGACTCTTCCATAGGAGAAAAAATATTTTTTAAAAAAATGGAGAAGATATTTTTAAGCCATCCAGCTACCAGCTTACATTCAGAATATGTGAAGAACCTTCACAAATCAACATTAGAAAGACATCAACGTTTTAAAATGTTCAAGGAGTCAGATGAAGATTCCTGCAACAAAGACATGCAGCTGGGAGTAAGTGCACACAAACATTCTCGCCGTCATTGGTCATTACAGAAACACAAATCAAAACCGGAGGAGAGCCTGCTTCTCATTCACTGGAGAGCAGAGATCAGCAGGACAAGAGTGTAGAGATGTCTGTCGGGAGAACTAGTGGGCTTCTGTGGCCACTGCGCGACTCGGTAAAAGCGGAGGCTCTACATTGCCTAGACCCAAACTCCTGGGCATACACCCTAGAAATGTATGTTCACACGGAAATCATGAAATAGACGTTCACACGGGAAGTTATTCACAGCCGCTGAACATTAAAACGGCGCGAATGTAAATCAGCCAATGAGTGAACAAAATGTACTGCAGTCGTATAATAAAACCTCGTTTGGCTGTGGCATGCTGATGGCATGGTACGATATGGATGGACCTTGAAGACTTCATATTGACTGAAAGAAGCCAGACACCAAAATCATGGAATACGTGTGTACAGTTAGATGCAGTGTTTAAGATGGGCAAATCCACAGAAATAGATTTGGTTTGTTTTGTTTTTCTTTTAACTAAAGTAGTGGCTACTAGGGGAGGAGAGTGTCGTGGTTTGGGTCTGGAATGTCCTCCACCGGCTTGTGTATGTCAGCTATTGGGTTAAATTAATATGTAAGAGCTAACCAATAAGAAGCTAGAGCTAATGGGCCAAACATTGTTTTAAATAATACAGTTTTGTGTGATTATTTCAGTTCTGGGCAGCGGGAATCAACAAGCGGCTCTCTCCTCCTACATGCCCCCCACCTTAAGTTGCTTTGTCTGGTGTTGTCTCGCAGCCACTAGGAAAGCAAGTGACAGAGAAGAAGAAGCAAACTGACTCCTTACACCTCCCAGAGTCTCTTTGGGACAATTAAAGTGTTACACAACCACAGGGGATGGCTGCACAAAGATGAATGTATTACAGTCACTGAACTGCACGCTTTAAAGGTTAGGATTCCATGACTCAGCCGTATCTCAATGAAGTTGCATTTAAAAAGCCAGAAATAATAAAAGAATGGTCGTATTGGGGTGTGATCAATTGATTACAAAGATGTATATCCCACTCGGCCTTCTCAAAGCTTTCATCAGTCACATATTTGATTAAAGAATATGAATGAATGAGAGACTAATGAGGTATGGGAAGTCCATCTCCTCTCCAGGCTTAAACCATGTACCACTCACTCATTATTATATGGTGTGTGTGTGTGCACGTATTGTGATGTGTGTATGTCTGTGTGCATGTTTGTACGTGTATGTATGTGTGCATGTGTGTATGTATGTATCCTGTGAGTATGTGCATGTATGTGTCACTGTGTGTGTATTATAATATGTGTATGTGTGTGCATGTTTGTGGTTATCTGCAAATGTAAGAGTATATATGTGTGCATGTGTGTATGTATGTATTCTACAAGTGTGTGTGTGTGTGTGTGTGTGTGTGTGTGTGTGTAGATTTTGTGGAAGGTGATCACCCTGACGAAGAGCTTCTAACCCACCTCTTTACCATTGAGAGTCTATGTATACACTTGATTTGAGGTGAAATAGACATGGGTTTTCCCTTTGGCACCTTCTAGAAATGATCTTGACGGTATATTCACCCACCTGGATTGTTTCATAAGTTTTTATATTTCTTTCAAGTCTCCCTGATAGAGTTAACCGCCTTCTCATCTGAGAAGCACCTCTGCCTTGTTCAAGTTCGGATTTCTGTAGCCTCTCCGTGCCTCTTTTCATCATTCGTATCCAGGGCTGCCCTGACAGACTGCAAGCACAGGGGTAGGCAGTGCCAACTCCATCTTCATGGCGAGAGCATGCCCAGGGTGTGTCCGTAGACCTGAGCTCCCCTCCAGTGTTTCTGTGTTTCTACTTTTCACTCCTTGAAATCTTCCCCTCCTCCCCCCCCCACATGAGGTTTCTGTCCTTCCATCTCTGCCTCTCAGTCCACTCAAATCATGGTTCAATCTATACGGCAATGTTCCCATGCAGCGCATCCATTTCTGATTGCTCAAGTTGCCTCTACCATTTCCCTTTTGGCTATCCCTGCCTCACCAATACCTTTCAGTCCCTCTAACCTAAAAAAAAAAAAAAAAAAAAAAAAAATGGATCTGAGGGGCTGATCCTCAAGTCTTCCTTCTACAGTTCAAGCACAGATTGCATGTCTTCTCCCAGGCAGCTGTCCTTCTCATGGAAGCAGGAGGGCTTCTATCTGGTGGGTATTCATGGCCTAACAGATGCTGAATGAACCTGCCACTTCACCAGTGATTCAACCCGTCTATTAGCCTATCAAATGAGCTATCATGGCAATTGACTGACTGAGATCTAGTGGGGATGGATCAACCATTCTTCGTGGCTGATTGATTGACTGAAAAATCCATCACCAAAAACTGTAGTGATGTACAGTCACAGCATATATGTATGTATATATAATATTCATTCTCTGGTAAGGTTTTATTTAAATCTGTGCAACCAAGTTCCTCTAGTGGCTCACCAGTTTTATGGCCA